TGTAAAATATTTTCCGTTTTTTCATGCATTTGATCTTAATATTTTGGTTTTGAATTCAATAATTTTAATTCAAGTTATAAATCTCGTGCGTCCAAGATTAAAGATAGTATAGGCTCCGTTCATTTCTTATTTCATGTTAATTTTTTCAGAAATCTAGGTATTAGATTGCTATTTCCAAAATTAATGTTATTGTTTCAATACTGTGTATTCTTGAGATTATATGTATACCACTATTAGCATATTTGGTCAAGTAGTTGTTGGGTAGGAATATGAATATATCTATGTATATATTTTTATTTTTAGAAAACTATTGAGAAGACTTCGATAATTTCTGAAAAATATTTACTCCATTAATTATTTTTTGAAAAATATTTGTTTAAATATAAAAAAAACATATTGAATAATAAAATTCTAATTAAATTGAAAAATAAGAAAATGAAAAAAATGATAAAATAATAAAAATTCTAAAACAATTAAATGTTTATGGGTCTAAATGAAACAATTAATTTATACTTAATTAAATATTCAGATTAAAAGTTATGTTAGTTTCTCCCAAAACTCCTTAAAACTTAAAAAAAATTAAAAATTAAGAAAATTATAAAATAAAAATAATTATACTAAGAATAATAAAGAAAGTGCTGCTCCAATTCAATCTATCCCATGTTAGATTTATCCATATTGTCATGCACATCCGTTTTACAAGTCCGAGCATGATCAAAATAGAATAGAGACTTGGATTCATTTTTAATACCATATCTCGTAATTTTTGCACTTGCAGCTTATTAACGGAAACAAATCTGGGTAGCAGATTCGCAATTTCCAAAATTAATGGTAATATTGTTTCAGTACTGTGTATCTATAAGATCATATACCAATATTACCATATTTAGTCGAGGAGTTGTTGGATAGTGATGTGAATTCATCTATATATATAATAGAAGCCTATATCTTCCATGGAAAACGAAGCGAACATACCCATTATCAACATATACATCAAGGATTAACCAAACCAGAAGACATGGAAAAATCTTCCATGAAGATGGCTTTCTTCGTAGCACTCTTGGTTTTTGCAGCTGGTATATATATATATAGCTCCCTTCTTCTCTTTGATATTCCTTCTAATATATATAGATGCATTCATATCTATTGACGTTTTTTTTTTAGTTTACAATGAAAGAACTCGATACGTTAATGGTCTATTTATGAATTTGTTACCATACGTAATTTTAAAATATGAGATAGTAATACTTGAGGTGTTAGTTCAGTGGTGGGAGGGACTTGTTCTCTTTCTTTGCACCCGGGTTCAAATTTCACTGTACACGTCTATCACCCCCGCGGTGCTTTACATGCTCACTTGGCTTACAGGATGTTCAATGAGCCATAAGATTAGTTGTAAAGCACGCAAGCTGGTCCAGACACTCACGTAAATCAAAAAAAAAATAAGATAGTATTCTTTTGTTTGTTTGTCACATGGTTAGTGACCTGATCCAATCCAAGTTTTATGTTAATAGATTATCAGGTTGGATTTAGTTAAACCAAGATAACCTAGCAAGTAAATTTATAATCTAGTTAACTTGATCTAGGTAGCTTAAAAAAAAGATTTGTTTTATTTTTTTGTCTCATAAACATTGTTTCATTAAGAAAAAACACCGAAACAATATCATTTTGAGGTTGGCCCGACGATTCAATGATTCGAGCTCTTAGCTAGATCAAATACTGGCCGAGTTTGATAATGGTTTGTAACTCATTGTCTCTATCTTGGTTTTGTACTTTGATTAAACCAGGAACACAAATAGGAGCAGAAGCAAGGGATATAAGTATTCCGTGCAAAACTGTCGCGGATTGTGTACCACCGGGTCATTGCGAATGCATTATCAACCTGTGTATCTGCCATCCTGTTGAGCAAGTTTTTGATGTTCAAGCACTCATCGGCAATCATCCATGAACGCTCAAAAACAGCAATTTGTCTGCTAATAATTCATTTCCAATAAGCTATAGCTCTTTTTTTATAATAAATAAAAAGATAAATGGATGGGCAACACATGCGCTGAAGAGTTACATATTCATCAATACAATGTAAGTTCATGCCAGAGTACATAGCCTGATTACTCTCGTTCTCTACACGTACACTATTTCCATCAACCATAGTCTCATAAATTTATTTTTATTTATCTTATTATTATGCGAATGCCAATGATTTAAGATTAACAATTTGAATTTCACCAACATGAGAATCATGTTAACATTAACTTGAGGTGAGCCAAATCCCATAGAATCCCTACTCTGTTTGCAGCAACAATGGGCAATACAATCCCTTCTCTTCCCTACCAAAATGCGATTACATGCTCTCCTTGTAAATGGAAGCACAATCACATAAAAAACTACATGAACCATTACCAAACACCAAAAACCCCATTACTCTCATATGGTTTATAAAGACTTCGCTATACCCTAACTAGCAAAAATTGGCTAATCAAACTTTGCTCGCAACTGTTCGTAAAATGAATGAGTGAACTTTAATTTCATGGAACGCCATGACTTGTGGTTTCTCAGATGGGGAAAGTTCAATGAGTCACTTTCTTTACTTTTACTAAGGTCGTGACTTCTGTTGTAGATATGTATTCTAAATGTGGGGTGATGTTTGATGCTCGAAAATATCTGTCATTGATCTCTTTGGCCCGGTCTGGCTCTGTGGATAGCCCTTTTTAATGGATATGCACGCCATGGACTTGGTTCTGAAGCAGTGATACTGTCTAAGAACATGTTAGAGCAAAAAGTAGTCCCTTTTGGAGTTACTTTTGTTGGGAATTTTATCTGCTTGTGGTTAGGGATGAGATTCTTCTACTCGATGGATGAATATTATGGAGTAACTCCAACTCTAGAACATTTGCATTTGTGGTGAATCTTCTGGGTCGAACAGGGGAACTACTGGAAGCAATTGCAAATGCAGTAGATATTGTCATTTGGGTAGCTATTCTCACGGCTTGTTGGTTTTAAAAAGAGATGGAAGTGGGTGACAGGGTGGCTAAGCTTTTGCTCGGTTCAGATACCAAGCCAATCTCAGCTCATGTATTTTACCTAACATATATGCAGCATAGGGTAGTTGGGGGAGAAGCTGAATGTGAGAAATGGATTGAGAGACTTGAAAGTGAAAATGGATTGAGATTTGAAAGTGAAAATGGATCCTGGCTGTTGTTGTATTAAGCTGAACTCTGGACTTAATGTGTTCCTAGTCGAAGATAGAACCCATCCACATTATACTGTAATTTATAACACTTTGGAACATCTTACAGCAAACGCAACATCTTTTTCCTTAATGTAACTCTGTTTCTCTTTCAATAACAGAGGATTATTGTTTTCATGCATCATAAGTTCAATGGCCAAACTTATTTCACGGTTGCTAAATTAAGTTTCTGTCTACTAATAAAAAAAAAATCAATGATGCTAATTATACAAAATATCTAGCTGTTCGACATAAATTCATTTTCCAAGTAATTCAAGCTGTAGATTGCTGATTATAACTAATTCCAGGTTCTATATTCATGCGAAAAGAGCAAGTTGTTAAATACCATGTTCCTTTCTGTTTCTCTGCCGAATAGTCTGCTATAGTGTCTACTTTATTACAGCTGTTGTACTATGATTTGGATGCACTTTAGGCGTTGCATTTTTTGTTTCCTCAACCACTTTTATGTTTTTCAATGTAAATCTGCTGCAGTAAATGTTCCTCATGAGTATTCGCTTTTCAAAATCCTTTTTTACGGTTCTGTTCAAGTTTTGACCTACGATCTGTTGGACTCATTCAATCTGTTTGCTTGGCCTCACATCACAAATTTTATCATTCCATATTTCAGAACCGAACTTCTGTTTTTCTTCTGTTTCATGCCAGTGATTCATCAGGATATTGGACAATGACAGCTGGCTGGCAATTCCAAAGGCTGTGGGTTCTCGGAATATATCCTGTGTTTACACTTCATAAACATCAAAGTAGGTCCTGTTATGCTGTTCATACTAACAATTATAACAGTGTTTCTGATTAATTGTTTCTTCTTTTTTTTAAAAAAATTGATTGTTGAACTATATAAAGTGTTAAGACTTAAGAGCAGCTCTATCTCTCTGTCTCTAGGATGTCTTAAAGCTGATGCCTCTTTTCCTTCAGTACACATTTTTGTTTAAAGTCTATATAAACGTGGTGTTAAATCTAAGTTGACAGAGTTTAGCCACTTTTTCCCTTTTGCTACTGACTACTTGAACACCAATCATTCCTCTTAATTTTCCCCAAAGATAAAACTAGTTTTATGTCTTTAAGATGGCCTTCTTAGCAGTCATTGGAACGGCACTGTTCTAGTCTATGATTTAAAAAAAGTGGTTGCTGCATAGAAAGTGGACAGTCATGAGTGATTAACAAATGGGTTTCCAACTCAGCTGATGCTGACCTGGAAATAAAGGAAAATACAAAAATCCCAGCTGACTACCAAATCAATGTGCAAGATATTTTGTTAAAGTTGTAATCTACATTATTTTACTCCTGTTTCCTTTTTCCTCAAGGCGTGTATATGTTTAGGAATTCTTCCAAATGCGGGGAACTGATAAAATATTATCTCAGTTGGGATTCTCATTATATTTTATGTGGGAGCAAGTATAAAAGACCATTAAATCTTCAGTGGCATCTAAATTATGAATGAATCTAGTTTGTTGCATCTGCAGGCTCAATTTTCCGTTAGGTTTTCATTGGAAAATGCTGCTCCTTTATTTGCACTCATTTGTGGAAAACAACTGTCAATTATAGTGGTACATCAGTTACATTAGTCTCTACCATAGGTCTTTTTAGTTTTTTCTTCATGGTGTTTTACTAATTTTACAACATTATTAAATTTTATATATCATAAACATCTGTCACCGTAAGAGCTCCTTTTTTCTTAACTTCAGCAGCTCTTACTGCCTCTCTGAAGTTCAGGAAACTATTCGCAATGAAATAAAACCCTGTTACAAACAAGTAAATAGTTAAAGTTTTGTTAGTAGCCAACTGTGTGTGTGTATGTGCATGGAATCATACTTTGTTAGGAATGAAAATTAATTTTAGAGATCTGATGGAGGATATGCACACAAAACAAAACTCATTCTCTTACATAATTTTGTTAACTTTTGTCATTATTACTGTCGTTAATCACTAGCTGCAACTGTTTGGATTTCTCTTCATTCCTAATTTCCTGATACCATTTGTGTGATTCTTCCTTGATTCCTCTTTTTCTGTACTTGCAGTACAGCACAAGTTGGAGGATCCCTAAGGGGATGCCAACAAGATTTGGGAACTGCCGAAATCCAAGAATTTAAGTTAAAAGAAAATCCAAGAGTGCATGTACTATTGGAAAGTTACTGTTGTCACAAAGTTAAGATTGAATAATTATACAAACCGTAAGAAAGAGATCATGGCTCAGTAGTCCATATACCATCCAAAGAGAACTTGAAAGGAAAGAGAAAAACGAAAGGTTGAATGGCATGTATTCTACGCTCTGTCTTTCATATTTAGAATATTTATTAAAAGGAAGCTTGAGCAAATACTTGCTTTACCAAAGGGCTTGAGGGAGATGAGAACTTAGATATTGAACGTGTTTATGTTATGCTACACGTTTTAGGATGCTAAAATCATGCCACATATTTGTTTCTGTTGTAGTGGCTTCAGCTGTCAACTTTGGATGCATGTGGTGAATTAAAAAGAGATAAAGATGCCTCACCACAACCACTAGTGGAGACCATACATGACCACAGAGGCCACAAGAGCAACACTCCCGACAAATATCTTGCGATGGTAGTGATCATGGAAAGAAAACAATGAGATAGCTGCCGTGATGCAGAACACTAGGATGACAGGTATCACTGTGATAGCAACCTTCATCTGCACGTACCGATGGTATTTAATTGTAAGTACTCTTTGCGATGCATAAGTGCAAGTATATAGCCCGTGAGTTGTGTTACTTTTTATTATGGAAGAAAGGCAGGAAGGTATAAAAGCATACTTTGAAACACGCGTGTAAACTTGAGTTGTCAATCTATGATAAGCGTACTAGTGTAGAAAATTCAAGCATGTAAGGAAAAATACTTCTTCAATAATTTGACAGATAAAGTTCAAAGAGCTTGCCTTTCCTTTAGCTGAAGTGAACCATAAATATATGAGAATGAAGGAAAGCTCAAAAAGAATCCCTAATCCATTGATGGTGACCACAAGGAATTTTTCCCATCTGTAGCTTATGACAGGCAACCCATACCATGTGTAAAGGAGACAGTTTAGCAGTGCAATGGTATAAGGAACACATGAGAACTCTTCAGTGCTTTTCTTCCTGATGACCCTGTTGGTGGGAGAAACCACTTGTGGTGGCTTTGAAACACTCAGAGAGGATAAAACACATTTTTTTATTTCAAGAACAAAGCTTACAATAACATAAACAAAAGCTTACAACAGCTCCTCTCTTTTTCTCTCTAGTGTTTCTCTCAATCTCTCCACACATAATTGCATAAGTTTAGCTATCTATTTATACACGAAATCAAAACAAGAAAATTCAACCTTCAAGTGTGAAGGCGGTTTTTGCCGATGGTGTGAAAGCGGCTGGCGGCTGATCGGTTGGTGGCTGGGCGGTGATGGCTTGTGGCTGCCTTCCTTGACCTTTTGGATTGAGTTTACTTCAACATTCTTTAAGCTTGGCCGGGTTACCAAACTGTTTGTATCCAAAAGAAAAACTAGTTTGGTTTTGTGGACATATTATCCCCCTTATCTGTCTCTGACCTTTGTGATCAAGCCAGCAACCTTTGGTTCGATTCCTACAAGTTGAGAGTAAACCCAGTTAAGCACCATCCCCTCAAACCTTCCTCTCGAGCATCAAAACCCATACCCAAGCCTGTAACATCTCATTATCCCAAGCTTCTATTACTAAATAATAGATCTTTTGCTGAGGTGCTCACATCTACAAAACCACAAATGGCCAGAATGGTAAAGTATGACTCCACGGATAGGGATAAGGAATGGTTATATTGGAGCTTGGTGGGAAATATCTTGCCAAATGTCGATGTAGCAACCTTGGAGGCAACAATCTTGAAATCAGTTAATAAAGCTGTGAGCTTTAGATTTTTAGGGGCTAGGCGATCATGACCTTTATGGACCAGTTAGCTTCCAAGGAAGAACAAAGGAATGAAGGGTCTACATTGAAATCACTTCTCAGTAATCTCAGACAGTGGGAAGTGTTGAAATAAACTCAATCTAGAAGGTCAAGGAAGACAACCACCAGCTGTCACCGCCCAACCGTCCAGCCGCCGGCCGCTTTCACACCGTCGGCCACAATCGCCTTCACACTTGAAAGTTGAATTTTCTTGTTTTGAATTCGTGTATAAATAGACAGTTAAACTTATGCAATTATGCATGGAGAGATTGAGAGAAACACTAGAGAGAAAGAGAGAAAGAGGGAAAGAGGGGTTGTTGTAAGCTTATGTTTATGTTGTTGTAAACTTGTTGTTCTTGAAATAAAGAGTGTGTTTTATTCTCTCCGAGTGTTTCAAAGCCACCACAAGTGGTTTCTTCCACCAACAATTGGTATCAGAGACCTGTTTGTTAGAAAACAGAGGTATTTTTGAGATATATCAGAATTTTCAAAGTTGTCAAAAACAAGTTTTGATCATTCCAAAGTGTAGAGCTCATCCATATGAACTCAATGGTGTAAAAATCAGATTAATCGGAGCACGGGGTGGCCCACACTCTCCGTCTGAAGTTTCAGTACTGTATCCCACGCGCCCCGAGGAAGAAGACGACTGAGCCACACGCGCGCCATATTTGAGCCACGGCGAGCCGCGAGCCAAGCCACCAGCCATATTCCGAAGCCGAGCCGAGCTCCAAGCCATATTCTGAAGCCAAGTCAAGCTTCAAGCCATATTCTAAAGCCAAGCCAAAAAGAATATTCCTTGGAATATTCCTGGTTCAACCCAGCGAACCGCCCGAATTGGTTTTTAGATTGGTTCACCCCATTTCCAACCTATTTTCTACAAAGTTAGACCGGTTCCCTACTATTTGGACCATTCCGGATCCATCTACGGTGTCGGTTTTGCCAAATTCAACTCC